CTTTTTCCACCTCTGTATATATATATATATATATATATATATATATATATATATATATATATATATATATATATATATATATATATATATATATATATATATATATATATATATATATATATATATATATATATATATATATAATATATATATATATATATATATATATATATATATATATATATATACTCTTGCTTGGTGGTTTTTAATTTTAACATTGTCAAGTCAGTTTTAGGTTTTTGTGAAAATGAATGTTGTTTTAAAGTTCGAGAAAAGTTAGAAATCAATTCAGTGAGTACGAAAAAGTACAAACAACACCCTTTTTTTTTTGTCAGTATGGCCAAAAAAGGGCTCTTACAAAGCATAATTTTGAGAACAGTTATTTATTTTTCACCAAAAAACAAACAAAAATAATTGATAAATTACAGTTTAACCAAACTAGGTTTGGAAATGAACTTCTCTTGTTGTATATATAAATTTGAAAATTATTTATATTATGTAATTTGAATTTTCTAATATTTTTTCAGAAATAAAAGTAACATGGTGAGTTTTGATACAATGGTGTAAAGAGAAGAATCTCTGTTTGTGATGATGAGAAGTGCTTCCAAAAAACGGTTATTTTCATAGCCTCATATTATTAAAAACATAATGGCATAGAAATTATTTTACATTTCAAATATATTATGAGAATGGAGAATATATTGTCAACCTATTTATTTTTATAATTATTAAAAATATAATGGCGTAGAAATTGGTTTACATTTCAAATATATTATGAGAATTGAGAATATACTGTCACCCTATTTATTTTTATAATTAATCAGGGCTGTTTCAAGGTGACGGGGACAAATAGAATATTATTCTATTGGGCTATACTCACAAGAGATATCAAGTTTTGTCGGTCATGTAAATTTATCAAATGTTTTTGCAAATTAAAGGGTCAGATATCAAATTTATAATAAAATTAAAATTTATTTGGACGCCCAGTTAAATGTCTACGCCAAGCGAGGACAAAAATTTTTTTCCTGCAATTTGATTGCTAAGAATGCAGTTAATAATATTTTTGTCAATCATTAATAATAATCATAATGCATAACTATGCATTTGTTGATTAGTTTTTTTTTCTAAGTTTAAAGGGAATTATAGTATTAAAAAAGTTAAATACGTAATAAAAATAAATATTCAATTTCAACACCTCATAAATTAAATATTACAAAATTGTAATAGAAAAAATATATTATTTTAATTAATTATAATGTAGCTGTTAATGTAAAGCAAAAGGATATATTTATTCCTAAACAATCATTATTACATTCACTGTCCGATGAATCAATAATATATCCGACAAATCAGACTATAAGTAATCTTCATTATCGCACATAGTTTTATAGCCATTCTGGTGTCGCGCTATAATTGAATTCAAAGCTTAAACGATAAATCACCAATCGTAACCGCTTTAAGTATTCAGATTTTTTAATTGTCCTAAAGCATCGACAGTTCATTTAGGCTGAACACTGGCATTCGTAGTTCGATTATTTTCTGTAATGCGGTTAGTTCCGATATAGACTATATTAACCGGGGGCGCTTAGTTTCGGAATGCAATATTTTGTTAGGTAATCGCGATGCTGTAATTTTTATAGAGCGAAATCACTTTATCTTTTCTGCAAACTGTTAAATAATTGACACCTGTGCTTAATTTGGACAGTTTATTTCTAAATTAACTCTTTTTAACTTTGTTTAAAACAACATACAAACTCACATAAAGTTAAGAACTAGAACCCTATTTAACGTAGTACTTGCAAGATCGAAGCATTGCAGACCTTAGCAATATTTTGACTATAGCAAGTCTACTGAATAGACGATCTCCTTCACCGATAGAAGGGCGAAGGAAAAAAAACCCGTTTAATAATATAATCTGTTCTACGTATTTTCATTTTGAAAATATGTAAAACATACAATATTAAACTATGAGGTTCATGTCTTTAAAAAAAAAATCCATAATCTAATCTGGATCGTGATTTTAGAGAGATATATCAACTTTTAGAGAGATATATCAACTTATGTAATAATCATAGTTTATCCAGGTCATATTTAAAATATCCGGAAAGTTGTCTTGGTAAATTATCCGTAATATAATTTCCTTTATATCCCTCCTAATTTTGGTTTTAGCTAAATTGTTTTAAATCTTTATTTTTTTATGAGTGATGACTGAAAAAGCTTTAAAAACAAACATATTACAAAAATTTATACCTAATCTCAATATTTTAACCTTTTATATTTAAGGTTATAATTTAATTTATAACCTTAAATATAAAAAAAATATCTGAATAATTATGAGACCAGAGCGTTTGATGGAATTGTCGTAGTCACCAAAATATCTTTTAAGACCCGATAATAATGAAGTCGACAACAATCTTAACCTCCATCGGGTATGAGAACTTCATTATTAAAGACAACAACAACAGCATCCAAATATTGGTATATTATTTTGTCCGGTCGTAATTAAAGCTTCATGCCACAAGGAACATAAATAGGTTTTTAACTTTTCTTACGCAGGGGATATATAACGTTTATAACATAACAAGTGCATTCTGATGGAGGCCGAGTGTCAAAAGATGTTTTAGATACTTCGTAACCCCGGAACTGTTTTTAAACATAACAAAATAATGTTGACCTTAAATCTAAATGTATCTTTTGCTTATACTATTTAAGACAAATACTTTTTCCGAATTGCAACAATTAATTGTTGCTATAATTAATGAGAAGAAAATAAAAGAATTATTAAAATTTATTTATACCATTAAAAATTTCAAATTTTCGAAAATAAAATAATACACTAAGCTATAATTGTCAAATGCAAAAAAAAAAGAAAAAAATAGTTGTATATAAAAAATAACTTAATCAAACTACCCTTCTTCTTTCAAAATATAAATAAAGTCACAGACAAATCGCACAACTGCATATATTTAAGTCTTTTTCAATTTACCACATAACCAAGTAAAAGTTGATCAAACTCGTATAATCCAAACAATTTAAAAATAATTTCTATAACTTCTAGCATATTTGTAAGCTATGCACTTTATAGTATTTCGGCACTTGTAGTATTTGCCAGAAATTTAAATTCACATTAAACTTTCATTTCATTTTTGAGATAACGGCAAAATCATATTTTTTTCCATTTGTTAATTAACTTTAACGAATTATAATGGTTTTGTATTTTTCAACTGTATGTATCAACTCATTTTGTATTTGTATTTTACAACTGTATTTTTCAACTGTATGTATCAACCATGGCCTACTTAAATTACACGGCCTGATTTGTTGCATTTTCCGTAAAAAATTAAGAGGCCAGTTTTTTTACGGCTTAAGTATAAAAACTTAATTTTTGTTATGGTTAAGAGTCTTGTTTGCACCATAATTATTTTATTTTTATTTTATTAAAATGGTTTAATAATAGTTAGATTTTCTTTGAGTACTTACATTATTTTGTGCTAGATTTTCTGTTAACTGATTGCCTGCTTCAGTTTATTCCAACAACACAGAATACTGAAATAGGCTTCCAGATAACTATATCAACATATACCAACATGCTACTAAAAATAATCTCTCATGTTGCTTAGATTGCCTAAATCTCTCCATTGAGCAAAAAAAAGGTTTGTAGTTTTGTATTTTTTATAATTGAAATAAGAAGAAATACATTTTTGCTAGAAATGTTTATTTTGTCTTTTTTGGAATTCTTTTACTTGATCTTTTTTAAATGAATATGTATTTTTTTTTTTTTGTGCAAATTACTATAAAAAATATAATAATATTTTTTATATTAATTTGCAATACAATACGAGATCTATATTTGATTCCCATTTTTGGTGGTTTTTATTTGTAAAATTTAAACTGCTAGATCAAATCTTTAAAATTTGTTTTGCAAATTTTTATTAAAAAAGAATGACTGCAATGTTTTATTAGAATAAGAGAAATAACATAAAATACTAAAAAGATGGCAAATAAAATTAGACAGAGGTTGAATTAAATATATAGGTTCTTCTCTTTATAAAGTAATGTTTATTGATCATAAGTTTAACATCAAAATCTTTTTGTTAATTTTTACCATTTTTACTTGCTTTAGTATATATATTTGTGCTATCTTCAGAAAGCTGACAGTTGTATTTATGTAGACAACTAAGCAATATCTTGCATAATATTTTTTAAGGATTATCAAAATTCTGGTAAATATTTTCTGGGAAATTCTGTCAAAATCTTTTTACTTATGCACATTTCTAAAAGACTCACAAAAAGTCTACTATTGGTCATTTAACTATAGGGTAAACTGGGGTAAAGTGAACTAGGGGTAAAGTGAACTATTTTTTTAAACTAAAAAGTTATCATGTTTAAAAAACTTTTTGTTAAGTAATTTAGCATTATTTTTGCTTAATACAACATTTTGAAATTTTTTAAATAAAAAAACTAATAAAATATAGCCTTTGTTTTGATGTAATAGCCATTTTAAAAAGCGAGTTTGGCGGAAGTTTTAAAATTACGATCTCAAACTTTGCTATGGGTTTTAGTAAATTCATGATTTGTTGTTATTAATGCGAACATCAGTTATATAATTTATATACATTTTAAAGATAATATAATGCTGTTAAAAAAAAATTGTAGTTTTTATCATAATATAAAAAAGCTAAGCTTTTAGTTTGTAAATCAATTTAGTTCACTTTACCCCTTATTTTTCTGCCTATTGGGGGTAAAGTGAACTAGTCTTTTTCTTATGTTTTTTCATCAAATATTTTTAGTAGAACTGAATATATAAATTGTAATTACTTAACTAAATTGTTTACTCTTAAAATAAGTTGTTTTTTTTTTTAAATATTCTTAAAATTATTTTCAGAAATATAATATATTGAAATAATGCCAAGAAACTACATTAAGAAAAAAGAATCTCGAAGAAAAACATATGCACCTAATTTGTTGCAAAATGCCATTCGAAAGTTAAAAATAAAGAAATGACTTCGTATGCTGCATCAAAAGAATATGGTGTTCCAAGAAGTACAATTGCAAGACATCTTCTAGGCATAAAATGCTCAAAAGTTGGTGAAGGGCGACCAAACCGATTATCTGCTGATGCTGAAAAAGATCTTGTTTCACTTTTATCTGCATTTTCTGATTTTGGATTTGGATTAGATAAAAAACAATTTATGAAACTTGTTCAAACATATATTGAATTAAACGGATTTCAGAAAAAATTTGTTAATGGTGTTGCTGGTGATCAGTGGTTTTGTAATTTTTTAAATCGTTGGCAGAAAGAAATATCTATAAGAACTCCAGAGCTTTTGACATTAACAAGAGCCTTAGCTTGTAATAAAACTGTAATTGATGCTTGGTTTTTATTACTTAAAGCAACATTGGAAAAATGTGACATTATGAATAGATCTGCCCAAATACTAAACTGCGATGAAAGTGGGTTTTGCACTAACCCAATAAATAAAAAAATTATTTGCAAAAGAGGTATTAAAAAACCCTGTATCTATTGCTCCTGGATCAGGAAAAGAACAGTTTACTGTACTAGCAACAATATCAGCTGCAGGAAGAAATTTTCCTCCATTTATTTTATTTGCTGGGAAGAATTTGTATAAAGAGTGGATGACTGGTGGACCAAATGGTTCCTTATATGGGGTGACAAAAAACGGTTGGATGGAAACAGAAGTTTTCACTGAATACTTTAACCATCTTGTTTTATGGTTGAAAGACACACCCAAGCCTGTTTTGCTTATCTTTGATGGTCACATTAGTCATATTTCTTTAGAAACTGTTAAAAAAGCAGTTGAAAATCATATAACTATTTTGTGTTTGCCAGCACACTGTTCGCATTTGCTTCAGCCACTTGATGTAGGAGTCTTTCGCCAAGTTAAACATGTATGGCGTGAAATTCTGGCCAATTGGTATACCGAGTCAAGGCTGAAGGTGGTTGGGAAATCTGTTTTTCCATCTTTATTAAAAAAACTTTATGATACCTCCTTTAAGCCAGCTCATTTAGTACAATCCTTTGCCAAAACTGGAATTTTTCCCTTTGATCCATCTGCTATAGCATCTGACAAGTTAAATCCTTCTGAAATCTATGAACACCCTTTTTCTCAGAAAACAAATAACTATAATAATAACGTCCCTCAAAACATCGTTTTAGACACCAATGTCAATGATCAGAACGATACTTGTGAAAATTTTTCTATTGAATCAACAAATAAATACAATTCACAAAAAACTATAATATCAGTAGGAAAAGACTTAAACAATGAAAAAATAAATCAACTATCAATATCAAATGTAGATTGTTCTACTGGAAATAAAATCATTAGAGAAATAGTGAAAGAACAGTTAATGGCCACAAAGGGTGATGGTCGTTCATACAACAAACGACCTACAAAAAAAATAAAAAGACACTATGGAGGTGAGTGTCTTACATCAGAAGATGCATTTAAAAGATTAAATGATGAAGAAAACGAATGCTTTAAAAGAAAGATCAAGCAGCAAGGCAAAATACAAAATAAAAAAACTAATTTATTAGAAATAACAAACACAAAAGAGTTAAAGATGAAGTAGTTCACTTTACCCCAATGTGGGGGTAAAGTGAACTAGTGGACATGTTTTTTTTGAATATATATTTAATATTGTAAAAGTAGCTTTTAATCTTAGTATTTTGTTTTATATTGTACCCAATACTTTAAATGGTATAAATTTTGAAAACTGCAAAATGTTTTGGCTTTTATTTTGAAAATATTTCCTTTAAATATCAAAAACAGTTCACTTTACCCCAGTTTACCCTACTTAATAAAACCTAGCTCCAAAGGATCTTTTTGTAAATTAACTATATACAAATGTAAAGCCTTCTTCAAGGAAATCATGCATAAGAAATACAATTGCGTGTAGTGTTTTAATTAGAACACAAGAAGTTTGTTTGGTTAATGTATTTATCAAATTTTATTTTGGTATTTATCAAATTTTATTTTGATAAATACCAAAATAAAATTTTCCAGGTATTTATCAAATGTTATTTTGATCAAATTTCAGTACAATTTGCAATTTCTCTATAAAGTGTGGGTTTGTTATCACCTTTCAAAGCAGCATATCTGAGTTTGATTAGATGAATTAAGTTTCTGCTTTGAATTAAGTATGATAAACAACTTATAAAACAATGATAATTGTGCTGCGTTATTTCTTTCAGAAAAATAACTCTAAATTAGCAGTTGTAGCTGCAGTTGTTTTGTCAAATATTGTCGATGTTGACAATTTGTTTGTTGTTACCAAAATATGTAATTTGGTAATTAATTTTTCTTGCTTTTTCTTGCTTGTTTAATAAGTGATCTTTTAATAAACTTTAAGAAATATATTTCCTGCAATGTAATCAGCAGTAACTTCAACAAAAAGAAAAAAACAAAAAACGAGTTTATCAAATAACAAATATATTTTAAACACTCCTTTTCTAAACTAAATGATAAATTATTAATTTTCCATCTCCAGTATATGCTTTATGAAACTATAAAAATGCATTAACATTTGTAGAATGGTTATCGGTAACAAATCTTATCTTAAATTCAGATTGGTGCATTGAGGTAATGCACTCATCAATTTCTTTTTTCAAACATAAATCTGTTATGTAAACTTTAGGTTATGATTTTAAAACATAAGAATAAATTTTTGAAGCCCTACAATCATAAAAACAAAAACAAATTCTTTATAAAGATTGTTTTCTCAATCTTCATCAAATTGTTTACCACTTTGGGCTGCTTTTTGGAAGTACACCTTACCCACAAGAAGCAAATAATCTCTTAATACCAAATTTTTGTCAATGATTTTTCTTATATATTATAGTTTTTCAATTTGTATTTTTTACCACTGCGAAACCATTTAAATAAAGAAGAATGATAACCATTTATTTGGCAATGAAAAAAATTAGAATTTTATTAACAGCTATTGACTCCAAAACAGTTGGTATGCCTGATATTTCTTTGCTACTGTAAATAAACAGCCTGATTTGTTACATTTTAATTGCTGTATGTTTGAGACATGCAGCATAAATAAAGTATTTACAATGCAAAACCTTGTTTTGCAGTGTAAATAATTTAAAGAAAAGTTTATGTTTTCTACTTAATAATTGCAATTATAATAAATACAAAATTACAAACCTTTAAAATTATTTCCAATGGAGATTTGTGGGTAGTTTTAGCAATATGTAAGATTATTTTTAGTAGCATGTTAATATGTGTTGATATAACTATCTAAAAGCCTATTTCAGTATTCTAAGTTATTGGAATAAACTGAAGCAGGCAATCAGTTAACAGAAAATCTAGCACAAAATAATGTAAGTAATCAAAGAAAATCTAACTAATATTAAACCATTTTAATAAAATAAAAATAAAACAATTATAGTGCAAACAAGACTCTTAACCATAACAAAATTTAAGTTTTTATATTTAAGCCGTAAAAAAAACTGGCCTCTTAATTTTTTACGGAAAATGCAACAAATCAGGCCGTGTAATTTAAGTAGGCCATGTATCAACTCATTTTGAATTTAAGGACCTTCAATGTTTTCAAAATTTTAAATTATTTAATACATGTGCTATATATGAATATCGAAGCATTGATCACTGAGTATTTTAATTCCAGCACATATTCCATTCCAGCACATATTTCTTCTTTTTTAATAAACTTCTTTTGAGATGTACGCTGATGTAGGTTGATGATTAATTTCTGTTTTATTTTATGCTGAAAATGATATACATAACATTGTTTAAAGAAGTCGTTCAGTTAATAAATAAAATACTAAAATACTAAAATATAATAAATAAAATACTAATATATTACATTATTTTCTATAAAAATAAAGAAATTCAAATCACATGCAAATATTGTAATTTTGATTCTTCATTTTGTTAAACATAAATTGAATATACTTTGTTAAAAACAATATTAAACTTTTTAACCCTCAACCCTTTTAACTTTTCACCACCCTGAAGGTGGTGAAGAGTTCTAATGGCCTTCTATTCTTTGACTCTTAGGTTAACAAAAATAAGTTAATTTCAATTTTAAAAAAATAAGAAAGGTACATATGGGGTAAGTAAAGAAATCTATTCAGAAGTGAAATTTTTTTGAGGTTTACATTTCTAAACGCAAAAATGTTTTATGATACAATTATTTTTAATAGCATTTTTTTTTTAAATATTAACCAAGAATTCTGTTTTTTTAATTTAAATCAAGTTGAGAAAACTCTGATACTGATTCATCATCGCTTAAGTGACCTTTGTGAGGCTTAAGTGACCTTTGTGAGGCTTAAGTGACCTTTGTGAGGCTTAAGTGACCTTTGTGAGGCTTAAGTGACCTTTGTGAGGCTTAAGTGACCTTTGTGAGGCTTAAGTGACCTTTGTGAGGCTTAAGTGACCTTTGTGAGGCTTAAGTGACCTTTGTGAGGCAGATCAAGACAAGACTGCTAGGCCTCAGGCATGCAAAAATGTTTTAAAACTTGAAGGTCAGCATATTTTTCACAGCTGATCCGCAGTCTCTCGTTGTACAAGCATATAAGGGGTTTTGTGATAATCGCTTCTTTTTTCCAAAAACTTTTTATGAGACAACTATTTCAAAAGTCCATTCCAAGTGAGTCTGTATTGTAACATAGTAGGGAATTCTTGGGAAAAATTAATCTCTTGAATATTCTCAAGCCCCTAATACATTGGGGGAGGGAGTGGGAGAATAAGGGGAGGGTTGGAGGGACGTTTATTAATTTTTGGAGAAATTTCCCACCCACCCCAAGCTCATTTAGACCCTCCCGTTTATTAATTTTTATTTGCTATCTAAAAAAAAAAGAGGTGAAAATTGGCCTTAAAATTAAAAAATATTTATTACAGCCACTAATAAAAACAAAAAATTTTAGTGTAATCAGAATTTAAAAATCACCAACCAAGTAAATCCCCGATTTATCGAAAATAAGCTTTTAATTTATTTCTCACCAAAGCACAGTGGGCCAAAATTCACTTTTACTGGACAAAATTCATAACTAATTTAATATTAGAGCTATAATCACTAAAATTTTTGGGATTTCATGATATTTCACGAGTGCTATATTTACTAAAATTAGCATGGGTACTAATATGATGTCTGCACTTTTTATGAAGGTGTTTCTTTTTATTTTGTTGATATGGATACCTTTATTTTGCTTAGCAACAACCTATTTTTGGTATTTGCAGATATTTTACGAGTGCTATATTCACTAAATTTGGCATGAGTACTAATATGATGTGTGCATTTTTTATGAAGGTGCTATTTTTTTATTTTGTTGCTATGGATAATTAGATTGCTTAGTTACAATATTCTTAGTTACAATGGGGTAAACAAAATGTCGTTATAACATCGTTAATTTGTAGCAATAAAAATATAGTAAGCAGATAAGCAGAAAAAATGAAAACAGAAACACAATTCAAGCAACGTTGCAGTAAAAATGTAACAATATAATATATTTACACAAAATCTTTAAGTGATACTTCTTTTAGTAGCTCTAGCACTCCATCTGGAAAGTTTTTCTTCTTTGGATGATGTGGTGTTCTCAAATTACTAATAATTGGATCAGATGAACACATCAATCTCCTTAACAAGTCTTCATTTGTTTTAGAACGGGAGCACTTTCTTGAAAAAGACTCCCGGAACTTTTTGAAGTCCTTGTTACGTGCTTCTTGTGCCTCTTCACTGAGCATGCCAATTTGCAAAGCCATTCAATCCACAACTTGCCAACCATGAATAAGAATTCGGTGCAGGCTCTGTGGCATGTGGTACCATGGATACTGGTTCACATATCGTTCAGCTGTTTGCATGCAGAAGTCTCTAAATCGAGAAGAATCAATAACATATTGTGACAATAAAGTGCACAAAATAACATGCAACATCTTAATGATGATGACATCTAGTTGGAGAATTTCAGCAGTCTTCATTTTGAAAAAATTGTCGAGCAGTATTGCCAGTGTTTGAATATCCTGAACCACAAGTCCTTGGAAAATCAATTGAAAGCCCATCTTCATTACGAAGTTTCTTTTGAATTAATGTTTTTCTATCTTGAATTATTTTTTTTTTCTGATGGTTCTCGTGTTGACCATTTCTGTATTGTTAATTTGTAGCTAATTTTGAGAAGGCATTCCATAGTTCTGATCCTTGCATGGAGAGTTGAAAGCCCATAATAAAAATAAAGTCCAGTTTTAGTAATTGGGAGATTTTTTTTAGTATTTAAGTCATTCATTTTTTTGGATTGCAACCACAAACTGAGCAGCATTGCGATGATTTTGTTGCTGTGGATAGTGCTGTGGCAACTTTCCCATCCACCATTGTAATTTCAATTTTGTGCAAAACTGTTAATTTGTCATACTTTGTAGTAAATAATTTTTCTATTGAGTTGTAAAGGAATTGTTCTTCTTCTTTTAATACGTCTGATATTTCTTTTTTATAGGAGAATCTTATTGGTCTGCAAAATAAAGTGGATGATGGATGCGGGTTGGACCAAATAATCTTTTTTTCGCCATTACAATATCCAGATAACTGCAAAGGCACAAAGCAAGTGAGGAATAAGCTGGCTTCATTTGTAATATTTCTGTTTTTTTCTTTTGTTGTTATTTGAGTATAAAGGCTTTGGCCAGTTGATCCATCAAAGCCAACTTTGGACCTTAGTGTCGTTCGTTGAAGATCTTCTAAGGAGTTAAAAACTTCTGCCTTACATTCTATTAAAAGTAGTGCTGTATGATTGACCAATGCTTGCATGTTGACCTCTGCAGAATAGTCAGTGACAGTCCATAGGTTATTCTCTGGAAGACAAAGTACTTTTGCTTCCCGTACATTATTATAAGCTGGATATAAATTACAGCCTTTTCTTACAGCATTGTTGCTTAGGCGCATATAATCAGACTTGCTCAGATTATTATCTAAGATAAGTGCAAAGGCTTCATTGGGAGTATTTTAAACATGTTCATCAGTTCGAGTTTTTGATAAATTTCTAACTACCTTAGCATGCTTTCTCCTTCCTTGTCTCCAAAGTTTGCAACTGCTAGCAAACAACAACTCGTTTGAAGAACTTGCCAATGATTTAAGTTTTGATACTTTCCTCTTTTTAGATTTATCAGATGATTCTTCAAATGATTTACAAGGCCTGCCAAGAGATAATTTAGGTGTAGTTTCTGTATTGCATAAAGAAAGGGTTTGTTGGGGACTAATAAAGTCTTTGCAAAGCCAGGCTAAATTTTTATCCAAAATGTACCATTGTATCGTCCACTTGCAGCCCATCGCTTTCTGTATTCAAAAGTAAATTTTGAAAATTGAACCTTACATTTAGAATTGCCAAGTTGTTCACTAATAAAATTAAAAACTACCAGCTTATCTTTTTCGTTTGATAATGATAATTTGTTTTCTCTTAGAAATAAATGGATTTGATTTCTATTAATGCTTGACATAATAAAAATAGTCTAAAGTTAAAAATAAAACAATTTATCAATAGGTTTTCATTTATTTTATTTAGAAATATTTTCTTTTAATTATTATAATATTAACTATAATTAAATAGTCTTATTTTTGAATCAAAATATTCATTATATTATAACATATTGTATTATTTTGTTCACGATGTTATATTTTATATACAATATCAGGGGTGGATTCAGCATTTTTTGGTGTTTGAGATTTAACTAAGCTAACTTCCAGACATGTAGCTAACTCCAAACATTTATATGTTTATACTTATGTAAAATAAAGATGGTTTGCAAAAAATTGCGATTATTGGAGCCTGGGAACAAAAAAGCCCCAAAATTTGAGATGTACCTGCCCCAAACTTGAGAGCAACAAGTTGATAAAATATTTTTTGTACTATTCTCAACAAGACTTATATTTATCAATAAATTTTAAATTTCATAGTAAAATATTTTAGCGCTCGAAAATTATGACCATATAAAAATTGTAACCCCATCGAATTGAGGGGGATTCAAACTTTCAAAAAATTAATTTAGCATATATTAGCAGCTAAATTAAACATATTTTCATAATATGGATATAAAAGCTTCAAAATATGTATATAAAATAACAGAATACTACAAGATGTTCTATTTTTTGTATTTTTTAAACCAAAAAATACACTTAAAATATTCTTTTAATGAAGTATTTAAAATTATTATATCTTATTTGTTTTCTTACCTATTTTAATCTAACAACTCTTAAAATGCAGAAAATAGACAGTTCAACAATAAAATAATTTTTAATGCGCAATATTTACAGTGTTACATTATTACCATTATTACCATTTTATTTACAGTGTTACATTATTACCATAGATTTAGTAAACAACATTTTTTGCTTTATAATATTTTTTTTCTAATTTACGTTTGCATATACTTTAACCACATAATTAGTTATGTGGTTAAAGTATATGCATGAAAATTTTAGATGAATATAAAAGGTTTTAAATTGTTTCATATCTATAAAAAGGTTTAAAACCATTACGACATCAAAATTCTGACTTTGATTTTTATACTTTTGTCCAGTCAGTGGCCCACTGTGCAAAGTATAAAACTTATTAAATCCTATTGAAATTATTAAAAAACAGTCGTCAGAAAATGCGCATTTGACCGCAAGCCACACTAAATTCAAATAGTTTTATGCGTGCTTTGTAAAAATGATTAGTTTGGATTTATAAGCTGAAATTTTTTTTAAAAAATAATTATATTAAAATAAATAAAAAAAAATCCCACTCCCCCTTTTATTAACCCCCACCCCCTTTATTAAATTTGGACTAAAGTTCTTACTCCCTTCCTTTTTATTCCAGCCCCCTCCCTGTATCAAGGACTCGAGAGTAGTTGGTATGGGACATTCGGCTTTGTAAAATAGTTTGATATGTTCAAAAAAATTTAGGAACATGTTCAACTCCAATTTGATATGTTCAAATGGTGAAGGTTTCTTATGACTCATATGAAATTCTTCCATTTAATTTATTGGTAGCTTTGCTCAAACCTTTTGGTTAACTAAAACCTTATCACGTTCACACTCCGTGTAGCTGTGGCCCCATATTGGGAAAGATAGTAATGATTTGTTGAAACATTAAGACAACTCATATTTTAGCAAAGTCAAATGGAAGAGCTGCATGGCCAGTTTTTGCATTACAACGCTTGCGACATTAAGATATTTTGAATAGCAAAACGAATAATAATAATAAAAAAAAATCCCTGAGTTTTCCAGCTTTTCCCTGGAATTCATGCTATTTACATGTTTTGCAAGTTTTCCAGTTTGAGTGACAACCCTGTGAGTTGTTTCAAATTTTTTTATAATTTTTCTGAGTGATGACTGAAAAAGCTTAAAAAACAAATATATTACAAAAATTTATACCTAAACTTGTATGTATAGAAAATGTTTTAAATAACCGGAAAAACTAAAAATTGAAAAAATATCCCGAATTCTGAAAATATTCGGAAAAATAAAGACTTATTAATAAAAATAATTTTTTTCGATATCTCAAAAATAAGTCGAGGTTAAAGTTTTAAAGCTACATGACTGTTTTCACATTTAATATGTATCTTGTAGTAGTAATTCTTGAATGAAACGTACAAGTTTAGAGCTCTTGCATTAAGCAAATTAATAAAAAAAAAAAATTGCCAAAATTAGAGATGTATCGGAATTCCAGCTGGAATTTGTAATTTTTAGGTCATTCCAGTTCTGGCCAAATTTATCATATTTAAGGGCGGAATGCCAGAATTTGTTTTTTAATTTATTTATTTAAGACATGTGACACAGAATGTGTAAATTAAAACAAAAAATCATTGTTCTACAGGGAAATGAAGGACTATGGGTAAACCTGTGTAAAAAATACAAAATTCTTAAAAAATACAATGCAATTTTAGGTAAAGCTACAGTTTAACACTCTAAAATAATTTTATTTTTGCTTGATGCGCTCTCATTAGTGGAGAGTTTTTAAACATTAGAAATATTAATTGAAATAATAAAAGAAAAAAGATTACTGCCCTATGCCAAATCTTCAGTCATGTAGCAGCACTTCCTTGTAGAAGCAGGGTATAAGATAGTCAATGTAGTAACACTCCCTTGTAGCAGCAGGCTATAAGATAATGAATTAGTAGCATTACTTTGTAGCAGCACATCCTTGTAACAGCAGGCTATAAGATAGTCGATGTATGTACTGAAGCCAATACATATTCTTTATGCTTATATTAAAAAGTCATTACTTTAAGCAAGTTTCCACACGAAAGCGCAACAAGCCATAAAACAAAATTATTTTAGACTACTTATCTGCAGCTTTGCCTAATTTTATTTGTAGTAAT